CTTTGGTGAACTGTGGAAAAAACAGAAAAGCCAGGGGGTGGAAAATAAGATATGAAACCCACAAACTCGTCTGTGTGTTTGTGTACTCATTATGAGGTGAGCCATCTGCTGCTGCGACTTCTTTAAATACCTACACGGAGATTGACGCCTGCTGTAGCTCAAAAGCTCAAGAGCGGAGTAAACAAGAGCCTTGTAAGAATGGTTCACCCAAAAAACCCCAAACTGTGGGTAAAGTCACCTCTTATGTCTGCATGTGTGCATGCCGCTTTCTCCGGGTGTGACATGATAACATGAAACTGGCACGTTTGAAGAGAAAGTAACAGTTTTAGGTCGATTTAGATGAAATCAAAGGTTTAATCAAGCCGATAAGGCTCGTCGCCCAATCGTCTGCAGCATTTTGAGTGAACCACGTCTTTATGCAAAGAGGTTATCTACAGAAAACTGCTCATGTAGGTATACAAAGAAACTTGAGCTCAGCACAGGAAGATAATCCTGATTTTAGTGGAGAAGATATGAAGCTGGTGCATTCCACAGCAGACAAATATACAGAAACACACATAAGGAATACAGTACCAGTGATTGCACCAACCTGCGGATGAGAGCGAGGGCTGCATGGGATTTCGGCTCAGGTACTACAGATCTCTGTCTTGGAAACAAAGGATGCTCTCTCGTCTGAAGAGAGCTGCTCAAATCCCAAATGATTCAAGAAGCAGATTTCGCACGGCTCTGTTTGTAGTGGTTGAACTCGGTCGCGTGTTCCCGTGTGCCACATCTGCATACGTGTGCATTAATTATATATACGTGTCCGCAGATGGAAGCAAGTGTTTTCTGATGTTTCCACATTAAAAAACATTCTTCATGCACTTTGTTCCGGGGAGCTCAGGTGGTTGTTTAGAAACCTGCCGGTTCCTTTGCAGCTCCATGCACACATGCCTTTTACACACACACTCACAGAAAGCTGCAGGATTTCTCTGCGGGATTGTATTATCACGCAGAGACAAGTATTGGACGGCGAGCGAAGAGCCTGGTGACGACAAAAGGCCTCACCAGTAGAGATGGGAACTTAATTCTCATCTATTTTTCATGGAGGATCCTGTGCAAACAGCCGAGGATGGAGAAGGCCCCACCGCACCCTCCGTGAGCGGTGTGGCAAGCCGGAAGTGCAAAGTTTGAAGTGCATTTAAAGTCATGAGAGCAGACTAAAAGGGCAATATTAGGCAAAAGGGCAATAGTGAGCAGAGAGGAAAGAATAAGGAAGGTTTAACAGGAACTATTAAAAAACAAGTTGGAGAGTTTTCTGCAAATCAAAGTCACTTTGAAAAATACTCTGACACTGAGGTTCTTATTACCAAACACACTCTCATCTTAAAGATGCAACACAGGACATTTTAACACCAGTAAATCATTTTTACACATTGGGATAATTACTGCACAGCACTCCTTATTTTTCCTTCACATACCTAACACCACGGCTTGAGGTGCAAAAGGTCTTTAATTGTTTTACACCACAAACCAAGAAAGCAGTGCTGAAGGCAAACTGTGCTGTCAGCAACGGAAAGAAATATTGGAGTGCAACAGGTTTGAGTCGCTGCTCATTTCTTTTGCTAGGAAAATGGGATAAGCTAGGAGTGTCCAACTCCAGGCCTCGAGGGCCGGTGTCCTGCAGGTTTTAGATCACCCTGGGTCAGCACACCTGAATCACATGATTAGTTCATTACCAGGCCTCTGGAGAACTTCAGGACATGTTGAGGAGCTAATTTAGCCATTTGGATCAAGGACACATCTAAAACCTGCAGGCCCTCGAGGCCTGGAGTTCTCCACCCCTGGCTCAGACCCTCTTAGGAAAGTTGTCTGACTATTTGTTTAACTAGTCTTCAGGAAAATTTCTCCAGGCTTCTTCAAGGACATTCAAAGTTCTCATTTGGAT